AGGTTTAAAATATAGAAGGTTTATACCATCCGGTTGCAAAGTTCTTGGCAAGAACTCAGTTCCTTTACTATTTTTAACCAACCTGTAGATAGTAAATAATATTCTAAAATTCCTGAAAAGAAATATTTCTCATTTTTCACAATTTAGTCATGGTAAATCGATGTCTTTCTCACACTACTACTGCTCATAATTTCATGCCTAACATTCTTAATTCCCCCCTCACCCCTTACCCTTCCCCTTTATACCTCCCTCCCCCTCCTGCCTACCCCCTCAAACTTCTGAATACCATTTATTCAATTTTCAATGCTAAGTTAGACACGTTTGAATACCATACAATAAATTGATTGAAAGTCGAGAAACTTTCGTCCTATAATATTCAAACACGGGTAGTTACAGAACAGATACCTTTCATAGAACACGGGTAGTTACAGAACAGATACCTTTCATAGAACACGGTAGTTACAGAACAGATACCTTTCATAGAACACGGGTAGTTACAGAACAGGGTATTTCATAGAACACGGGTAGTTACAAAACACAGGACCTTTCATAGAACACGGGTAGTTACAGAACAGGACCTTTCATAGAACACGAGTAGTTACAGAATAGGACCTTTCATAGAACACGGGTAGTTACAGAATAGGACCTTTCATAGAACACGAGTAGTTACAGAATAGGACCTTTCATAGAACAAGGGTAGTTACAGAACAGATATCTTTCATAGAACACGGGTATTTACATAACAGATATCTTTCATAGAACACGGGTAGTTACAGAACAGGACCTTTTATAGAACACGGGTAGTTACAGAACAGATACCTTTCATAGAACACGGTAGTTACAGAACAGATACCTTTCATAGAACACGGGTAGTTACAGAACAGATACCTTTCATAGAACACGGGTAGTTACAGAATAGGACCTTTCATAGAACACGAGTAGTTACAGAATAGGACCTTTCATAGAACAAGGGTAGTTACAGAACAGATATCTTTCATAGAACACGGGTATTTACATAACAGATATCTTTCATAGAACACGGGTAGTTACAGAACAGATGCCTTTCATAGAATACGGGTAGTTACAGAACAGATACCTCTATAGAACACGGGTAGTTACAGAACAGGACCTTTCATAGAACACGGGTAGTCACAAAATACAGAACCTTTCATAGAACACGGGTAGTTACAGAACAGAACCTATCATAAAACATGGGTAGTTAAAGAACAGATACCTTTCATAGAACACGGGTAGTTGCAGAACAGATACCTTTCATAGAACACGAGTAGTTACAAAACACAGGACCTTTCACAGAACACGGGTAGTTGCAGAACAGGACCTATCATAGAACACGGGTAGTTACAGAACAAGACCTATCATAGAACACGTGTAGTTACAGAACACAGAACCTTTCATAGAACACGGGTGTTATAAAACACAGAACCTTTTATAGAACACGGGTGTTACAGTCTTACAGAACACAGAACCTTTCATATAACACGTGTAGTTATTGCATTAAGGACTTGAAAATTTAGCATAAGGAACTTAAAGATTTAACGTCGGGGACTCTAAGATTTTGCATTAATGCTTGGAAGATTTAGCGTTAGGAACTTGAAGATTTATCATTAGGGGCTTGAAGATTTGAAGGTTTAGATAAGGGACTCGAAAATCTAGGTTAAGGGGGTCTAGGGGATCAAGCTGGATTTGATAAAGGATTTTGAAATTAGTTTTTATCATACTGATATTATTGAGATTAGTCTGAGGTCTTGACACAAGTTAACCCGGGAAAATAATTCTTCGTCATAGATAATAAATGTTTAAGGACTTATGCATTGATTTTACAAAACGTTTGTTCTTTTATTGTAAAAAATCGTGTATAAGGTAGGACTGACGTTCCAAAAATGAAATTTGACAAAAATGAGACTGAACAATATGAAGTTATAAAATGACGTAGCGTCAAAAAAAATCACACATGTGAATATTCTAAAATATTGAAAGAAAGGTTTTAATCAATGGTTTATATGTTATTTATCAACGGATGATTTTAGAATAAATCCAATTCTAGAACAAGAAAGAATTTGAACCAGATGTATCTAAAAGCTACGGGTTGATGACACTAATCATATGGTCGGCTAAAAAATCAAGTTTAGAGTGAGGGTGGAATATGAAGGGGAGGGGGGGGGGGTAAAGCGAAACTAAATGGGTTGAACGTGTTTTGTGAGCAGTGGGCCTGGTATTTGCATGATAAGGTTTGAACCCACCAGATTTCAAGGTTAGGGTTGGGAAACCCTTATCTCAGGATATCAGCTCCTCTCCTCACTCCTCCCTGACAGATTTAACGTGGCTAACTTTGGATCCAGGTCTCCCTGGAGACAGATAAAAGGATAACAAGTAAAAAACAATAATCCTTAATCACTTGGTTTTATAAAACACTAGGTTTAGGTGAATATCTAACTCCAGGTGTGTTTTAACATACGGCAAAGGTCCGACTGTCTTCTCTGTACAGACTACAGGTAGTTTACAGTCAAGGACCTACGGCCACACTAGGCGCGCGCGCGCACACAACATCGGGTGTTGGTTTCCTGGGGGAAAATAAACCTAAAAGCGCCTAGAGGGGAGAAACACGGGAAACCATGGATTTATGATAATCATGGGATATTCTGTTCTAGTTGAGCCATCTGCTATAGGACTCTTCATTCTTCAAAGCTGAGACTGGTTTCCATTTTGAACAAAAACTTTAATTAAAAAAGAAGAAACCAAAACAGCTAGATAAATAAAAATTGAAAAAATACAGAAATGCACTTTTTTATATTCGTAAATACAACGAAGCTAAACCGCTTTATTTTAAAGTTACATTTTTTTTCATCAATTGTATAGTTGGACATTTATACTTAAAAGTGGTTAAACAGATAACATAAAAATATTTTCATAAACAGGGAGGGTTTCAAGAGAATTGTAATTAAACACGAATTGATATACATAAGGAAACCCCGTAACTTTGTTTACTTTGTGTTCTGTAGTTTATGTTAGGAAATCTTTACCACAATCTCTGATTTTCTAATCCCTATATCTTTGTAGCCAAATGTTGCAGACCTTAGAAATTTCAAACCATGAATTCTGTTAGATCAAATAATCTAAATATGAAATATCAAAGGTTTCCACCATCAGGCTGCAAAGATACATGAATATAAACAAGCTAAAAAAACTTTGTATTCCTTAATTCTATCAGAAACTGCAGTAATATGTTTTACATCCATATAATCATACCGGCCATAGATACAGATATCTATGTATTTATTTATTTATCTATGTCCACATATTTCTTTGATCTAATAAGAAAATCTTTGTTTTTAATTAGTTTATTTTCATCATCTAAATACCTAAGCTGTACATTTAGAAAGTATTTACATTTTTGCTTGATAAGTTTTTCATTTTGAATGCTGTCTATCCTTTTATATCTTTGCTACTTGATCTTAAAAACCTTTGATATTTCAAACTTTGGCGTATTTAGCTAACATTAAAGGACTATGAGTAAATGATGAATTCCATCCCATTGTTCTAAAGTGGGGTCCCAAGGAAAGGTTACATTTTTTTCATCAAAAAAGCAAATTGTTTCTGAAATAACATAATTGTTATTTTTGATTTTAAAATCGTGCCAAGATTTATAGTTCTCCATGCAGTATCCCTAACAAGTCCGTGAATGTATCTATCTATCTACTATCCTAGAGTATACCTGGATATATTCCTCTTTACTCCTTGTAGTGCTGTATAGATTGGAAAGCAGCTAAACCATTCCATTCTCTTCAAAACAGTATTCTTTACTACACAGTGAAATACCAATTATGTTTTTGTTTGTTAATATAAAAACAATTATCATAGACAACAAATATGTTTCATATTTTTAAAAAGAGGTTTCCCAACAAAGGATGAGACTGTATTGACGAAACAAAAAGCTTTAAAATAAAACGATCTTAAAGCACGTTGATTTAACGGTTCTGTATTTATTCCAGAAAACTGTGACTTTTGATCACATTACTTTTTTCGGCATATACAATTTGAATAAAAAGTATAAAACAAACAAATCCGTAAGTTTAAAGATTTGTTAATTTTACACCAAAACGCGTATGATCTCAAATAGAAGAAACCGAATTGCCTCTATCTCTGGTTAGTCCGGTGTGAAAGGGAGTGTTCACAAATGAAAGGTGGTATAGACTTACGTCGAAAAATAATCGCTTTTGATCGCTTCTAACTTCTATCTATTAACAAACAACAAATATTATAAAAGTACAATAGTCTCTGAAGTATCATCTTTAGTGGGCATTAATATGTATTTAAATCCACGATACATTAATTTAAAAAATAGTCCAAGTTATCTTAGTAATATTCAGTCTATATAAAGTACAGAGACCTTAAACTCTTGTAATGTTATGAATTGAAGATTGAATTATGTAATTAACATAGTTTGTTTTGGTTTATTGATTTATCAAACAGTTTCAATGCTGCGAAAATAATAAATAAGTTCCGATCAATCATCAATCATCTCAACCTGTAGAATAAGATACACTTCTTCTTCTAAAGTTCTAAAAAATTTTAAAATCAACTGAAGTTAACCATTATCTTTAAACAATAGATTAAAAATTCTGATTTGTTTTAAAACTTTTATTAAATTGAAAATCCATTCCATTTCATTTTTTATTAATTATTGCCCAAAACTAAACATATTAATATAAGTACATATGTCCTGAGCGAGCTTTTGTGTGGAGTATCTTTAATATTAAACACTTGATCTCAATACCCAATTTATCTTCAAAAAATTTACCTTCTTCGAGATGGATAAACCTTACCTTTGGTTCTAACTAAATATAATCGCATACGATATGAAATGTCATTCAAAAACCATCAACGAACGAAATGAGACTACATCGCCATCTTTACATGGAGGGTCACTTGAAATAAAACAAATTATAAGATAGACATATCTTCTTTTTGTTTCCAGATAAACATGACAACCTTCTTGGACAACTTGTTGGCAGGACCAGACAGTGAACGCTGGCTGACCGCACACAATGACCCCTTAGCGGGCATATATACATTCTCATCATGCTTAGCTCTTTCAGGTCGTGTATAATGTCGTCTTTAGTTAAATAAAGATACAAAATGACCCCTTAGCGAGCATATTTACATTCTCATCAGCTCTTTCAGGTCGTATAATGTCGTCTTTTATAGTTGAATAAAAATAATAATTTTAGGAGTAAAATTCTAGAGTTAATCATCACTAAATACATCTAGTCTTGGCATTTCCAAAATGTCAAGGATTTAATGCAAGGAAAGTATTTCAGAGGTGTACGCATCTTTTGTACTGCAGTGTACTGTCTCTGGGCGGCAATGTAAACACAAGACGGATGTCGAAGCCTGACATGGGATCCATCTTTCACATTAATAATCATTGAAATATTCTGGTCTTAGGAAGCTATTACGTGAATTATCAAAATTATCAAAATTCAATGCTTTTAACCTCCTCGGATACTAAATGAACACTGAAGCATCTATTCTTGCTTACAAATTCCGCCCAGAGAGAACTGGTTTCAATATGTACGCAAAGTATACGCAACTGAAATTAACTTTCCTTGCATTCTTGCAAAATGTGGTCTACCTTTTATGTGCGATTAATATTACCGGAGATATGAAGAATTTGCTTAGATTTCAACAACTTTGGTTTTATTTAACAAAATTGAAATCTGAGCGAAATTCTTAATATCCCCTGAAATATTGACAGCACAAGAAATGCAGACCACATTTTGAAAATGCCAGGTTAGGATGTGGTGGTTATTTCAAAATCATACATGTGAAAGCAGGTTGAGAACTAAGTGTCACAAATAAATTTCTGTCATGTTTCGTGGTACACCCTGTACATTCAGATTCTCATCGTGCTTAGCTCTTTCAGGTCGTTTAATGTCGTCCATAATCTATTAAATCGACGTGTAAAATATCACTACTCATCATGTTTAGCCCTTTCAGGTCTTGCAATGTCGTCTTTAGTTAAATAAAAATACAAAATGACCCCCTAGCGGGTCTATATATTATATACATTCTCATCGTGTTTAGCTCTTTCTGGTGGTATAATGTCGTCTTTAGTACAAAATGACCCTTTAGCGGGTATATATACTATATACATTCTCATCGTGTTTAGCTCTTCCAGATGGTATAATGTCATCTTTAGTACAAAATGACCCTTTAGCGGGCATATATACATTCTCATCGTGTTCAGCTCTTTCAGGTCGTATAATGTCTTCTTTAGAAAAATTAAAATACAAAATGACCCTTTAGCGGGCATATATACATTCTCGTCATGTTTAGCCCTTTCAGGTCGTAAAATGTCGTCTTTAGATAAATTAAAATACAAAATGACCCTTTAGCGGGCATATATATTATATACATTCTCATCGTGTTTAGCTCTTTCAGGTCGTATAATGTCGTCTTTAGTTAAATAGATTACACGAATCCTTAGCGGGAATTCTTATCATGTTTAGCCCTTTCAGGACGTATAATGTCGTCTTTAGTTTAATAAATTACACGAATCCTTAGTGAGTATTCTCATCTTGTTTAGCTCTTTCAGGTTTCATAATGTCGTATTTTGCTGTATAAACTTAAATAGCGTTACAGTGATCTATTAGTGGGCTGATTATTTCTGTGCTTAGCTCTTTCATGTCTTTACATGTCGTCCTACATTGAATTTAAATTCAATAATCTATCATGATAGTTTAAAAATTATATATACATAATCTTTTTCTGTGGCTCTTTCAAGTCTTGACAAGAATATCGCTCTTTCCGCGTGTTTTTCTATGTCATCCAATGTCGTATTTTTATTTATTGATCATATTTTCAAAGTCGTCTTTGATTCCTAAATTTAAAACCTTGAAGGACCGGAGACCGTATTTAGTTTCTCAGTTGGTACTAATACTTTCACAGTATTTTTTCTTGGGTTCTTAATTTTGTTACTGTCAAAGTGTCCATTTTAAATTTTTTTCTTTCAGATTTGGGCGGGGACGGAGACTTTCGGTTGGTTATCGCTGATTTAGGATCCGGAGAGTTTAACATGAAACTCAGGGTCTTCAAGGGAACTCAGCAGGTTTGTGTAGTATCAGGGTATACAAGGGAACTCAGCAGGTTTATGTAGTATCAGGGTATACAAGGGAACTCAGCAGGTTTGTTTAGTATCAGGGTATACAAGGGAACTCAGCAGGTTTATGTAGAATCAGGGTCTTCAAGGGAACTCAGCAGGTTTGTGTAGTATCAGGGTATACAAGGGAACTCAGCAGGTTTGTGTATTACCAGGGTCTTCAAGGGAACTCAGCAGGTTTGTGTAATATCAGGGTATACAAGGGAACTCAGCAGGTTTGTTTAGTATCAGGGTATACAAGGGAACTCAGCAGGTTTGTGTAGTATCAAGGTATACAAGGGAACTCAGCAGGTTTGTGTATTATCAAGGTATACAAGGGAACTCAGCAGGTTTGTGTATTATCAAGGTATACAAGGGAACTCAGCAGGTTTGTGTAATATCAAGGTATACAAGGGAACTCAGCAGGTTTGTGTAATATTAGGGTCTTCAAGGGAACTCAGCAGGTTTGTGTAGTATCAGGGTAAACAAGGGAACTCAGCAGGTTTGTGTAATATTAGGGTCTTCAAGGGAACTCAGCAGGTTTGTGTAGTATCAGGGTATACAAGGGAACTCAGCAGGTTTGTGTATTATCAGGGTCTTCAAGGGAACTCAGCAGGTTTGTGTAATATCAGGGTATACAAAGGAACTCAGCAGGTTTGTTTAGTATCAGGGTGTACAAGGGAACTCAGCAGGTTTGTGTAGTATCAAGGTATACAAGGGAACTCAGCAGGTTTGTGTATTATCAGGGTATACAAGGGAACTCAGCAGGTTTGTGTAATATCAGGGTATACAAGGGAACTCAGCAGGTTTGTGTAATATCAGGGTATACAAGGGAACTCAGCAGGTTTGTGTAGTATCAAGGTGTACAAGGAAACTCAGCAGGTTTGTGTAGTATCAAGGTCTTCAAGGGAACTCAGCAGGTTTGTGTAATATCAGGGTATACAAGGGAACTCAGCAGGTTTGTGTAGTATCAGGGTAAACAAGGGAACTCAGCAGGTTTGTGTAGTATCAAGGTATACAAGGGAACTCAGCAGGTTTGTTTAGTATCAGGGTGTACAAGGAAACTCAGCAGGTTTGTGTAGTATCAAGGTCTTCAAGGTAACTCAGCAGGTTTGTGTAGTATCAGGGTATACAAGGGAACTCAGCAGGTTTGTTTAGTATCAGGGTGTACAAGGAAACTCAGCAGGTTTGTGTAGTATCAAGGTATACAAGGGAACTCAGCAGGTTTGTGTAGCATCAGGGTATACAAGGGAACTCAGGAGGTTTGTTTAGTATCAGGGTGTACAAGGGAACTCAGGAGGTTTGTTTAGTATCAGGGTATACAAGGGAACTCAGCAGGTTTGTGTAGTATCAGGGTATACAAGGAAACTCAGCAGGTTTATGTAGTATCAGGGTGTACAAGGGAACTCAGCAGGTTTGTGTAATATGAGGGTGTACAAGGGAACAACAAAGAAGAGAATAAAATAATAAATCTACTATTGTAGGCTACAGAAAATACAATAATAGATCTACTTTTGTAGGTTTCAGAGAATACAATAATAGACCTACTATCCTAGGTTACAGAGAATACAATAATAGATCTAATACTGTAGGTTACAGAGAATACAATAATAGATCTACTTTTGTAGGTTTCAGAGAATACAATAATAGACCTACTATCCTAGGTTACAGAGAATACAATCATAGATCTACTATTCTAGGTTCCAGAGAATACAATAATAGATCTAGTACTGTAGGTTACAGAGAATACAATAATACATCTACTACTGTAGGTTACAGAGAATACAATAATAGACCTACCTACCGGAGTAGTAACCTTCCATATGGATACTAATGAACCAAGAATACCTGCAATAGCTGTTGCTTCTGGATCCCATATATACATATACAAGGTACTTACTTCAGTGTAATATACTTTAATATTCGAGAAAATCCACATCAGAGACTAGACATTTTTACAATAGACACTTTGCACTAGACACTTGACACTGAACACTAGACACACGACGATAAACACTACACACTGGACCCTAAACACTTGACACTGAACAGTAGACACCTTGCGCTAGAAACTTTAAACAAGAGACTGGACACTAGACACTTGAAACTAGACACTAAACACTAAACACTAGACACTTAAAACTAGACACTAAACACTAGACACTAGACACTTGAAACTAGACACTAAACTCTAGACACTAGACACTGGAAACTTGACACTATACACTAGACAGTAGACATTAGACACTAGACACTTGAAACTAGACAGTAGACACTTAACACTTTATACTAGACACAAAGTATTAGACATATATTGCTAGATCTAAGACAAGACACTAAAGTAAGTCTGGTTTAGAATCTGCGACCCTATTTCAAGTTTACTCTACCAACCCTGGATATTCAACCAGCAGAGAGAGATATTTGGGATCAAGCAGCCAGGGATACACTTAACACTAGCCAGGTTATATATACTAATAGTAATTATAAGAATAATATTAGATATATTTCTAACCTAAGGAATAAGAAAATAATGATAATAATAAATATGACAATATATAATGATAATGATAATAATAATAATAATAATAATAATAATGATGATAATAATAATAATTAAAATAATAATAATAATGGTAATAATAATAATAATGATAACAATAATAATGATAATAATAATAATAATAACAATTATAATTATTATAATACTAGATCTATGAGAACCTGTCTAATCTACGGAATGAGATTGGAGATGCAAGGTTGACAGCTCGGACACAAAGACTTCTGATGTTAGGTGACTTACTTGACTTGAATTCACTTGAATTCCAATTTTCAATATTATAAGCAACAAATGCTTTGTTATCTACATCTCACTCCTGTATGCCGAGTTCATTAGCGCCTGATCCAATCAGGGTAAAGTCATGTGTTCGTTGTCTATTCTGAACCAATAGAAAAAGTATGGCGGTATCATCTATCTTTCTATCTATCTCATTATCCAATCAAAGTTATGAATCCTTCAATCGGTGCTGTTAGTAAATGGAAATATTTACTTTAACTGAAACTATAGTGATCTCAAACTTTTAAAGGAATTCTGACCTCTCTCAAGGAATTCTGACCCACAAAGGATGAGACTGTAATGACAACCTGAAACTCTTTAAATATAAAGATCTAAAAGCCAAAGTCAAACAAGATTACAGTGGCAGGGAACTATAAATGTAAGAAAAAGGATTAAATAAATTCCATTCAGTCGTCTTTGAAGTCTTATCCTTTGTCGGTAATCTTAAGGTTTATAATATCAGGTTCATACACTTAAGGATCAGAAAGCTTGATGTGCGCAGAGTCATCAGTTTCCTCATTTTACCCTCTCTCTTATTTTTAATCTTTTTACCGACTTTTTTTTACCAACATTACCGACATATGATTCCCTCAACAAGGGGATGTTAAGTTATTAAACTTCCCTTGGGACAATTAAGTAAAATAACCACCACCTCTTCGAAGTTTTTGTGAAAAAATCACTCATTTTTATCTCAAAAGACAATAAAACTGTGTACAACAACTTTTTTGGGAAAAGTTTTTAATTAACCACGGGTTCCCTTGACCAAATTTTCCTTCAAAATATCTATTGCTGCGCTCTGCATTTTTTAATGCAAAATTGGCCTTGGTTATCCTTGGTGAACTAAAATTCATTTAACTTCTCTGTAAAGTAGTTCAAATACTTTATTTTAGACAGTTTACAGGAAGTTGAACAGTTTGTTGAAACTCATAAGGTATTTCATATTTTCTTGTCGAAAAACCAAATAGGTTAATAGCTGTTTGAGATCTTGCATACTAGTCCCCAAGGGTGGGTTGTTTATGTTCTATTCCTAAAATTGTAATTTAGGCATCTGTTCAGTTAGTTATTCAAAGAAATTCAAAACTGAACTCAAAAATCTTTTTTTCTATTGCTCGAAATTCGATTAAAATCTGCGGAAATATTAATATTTTATTGAATATAAAAACTTCTAAATGAAAACGTTTTAAAAAAATCAAGAAACTATTTTCAAGTTTCATCTTTACAGACTTTTGCAATTACCAAACTTTTTTCTTTTTTTCTTCAGAGTTTCCCCCTAAAACGTCAGACTGTGGTGACCTGCATCGATACTCTCAACAAATCATATGCAGGTAAACCAGATACAACCAGATTTAATCAGACTCAAACTAGATTTTACCAGATTTAACCAGATTTAACTAGATGTAACCAAATAGAACCAGATTAAATCAGACTCAAACTAGATTTTACCAGATTTAACCAGATTTAACTAGATGTAACCAAATAGAACCAGATTAAATCAGACTCAAACTAAATTTAACCAGATTTAACCAGATATAACCAGATTTAATCAGACTTAAACTAGAGTTAACCAGATTTAACCAGATGTAACCACCAGATTTAATCAGATTCAACCAGATTTAACCAGATTTAACTAGATTTAACTAGATTTAATCTAGATTTGAACCAGATTTAAATAAATTTTAACCAGTTTTTACCACATCTGATTAGATTATGAACAGATTTAACCAAATGTAACCAGATACAACCTAATTATAACCAGATTATAAAGATATTAAAACCAAATTTAACCAAATCATACCATATTTTTACCATATTTTTACTAGAGTTTTACTTGATTATAACCAGATTATAACCATATTTAACTGGATTTAATCAGATTTTATAAGAATATAACCAGTTGATGATCAAATTAGAATCAAACTTTAACCAGATTTTAGATAGATTTCAAACAGATTTCAACCAGATTTGGAACAGAATTCAACCAGAAAAGATCTTTTAACTCATACCAAAATATTGTAGAGGAAGGGAGTGTAGCTTGTCTTGTGCTCGGTACAGAGAGCAGTTCTGTTTATATCCTTGATCCTGAAGCATTTACTATCATGGATAGTCTTGCTCTTCCTTCTCCTCCTGTATTCCTTACGGCTGCAGGTACTGGTTCTATGAATATATATATATATACATATACTCATATGTTTAGAATTACATGATGTAGAATATATACAGAATACTAGTTGTTAAAATATATATATACAAAAAAAAATTTGTTTAATTTGTTTTAGTCAGGATTTATCTACTGTAGATTGCCGCTAGGGATGGAACATCATGTTTAGTGAGATTCTTAAATATCTTAAAACTCTTAATTTGAAGCTGATTCTTTAAATATATATTTACATGAATATATATGTTTCATATTATATAACAAATATATATACATAAATGTATTTGTTTAGGACTATATGATGTAAAGTACAGGATACCAGTTGTATGCCAGTATATACATATATACATACATGAATATAATATATGTTTAGGACTATATGATGTAGAGTACAGAATACTAGTGGTATGCCGGTATATACATATATACATACATGAATATGTTTAGGACTATATGATGTAGAGTACAGAATACTAGTTGTATGCCGGTATATATACATACATGAATATATATATGTTTAGGACTGTATGATGTAGAGTACAGAATACTATACTAGTGGTATGCCGATATATAAATATATACATACATGAATATGTTTAGGACTTTATGATGTAGAGTACAGAATACTAGTTGTATGCCGGTATATACAAATATGCATACATTTAAAATATATATGTTTAGGACTATTTGATGTAGAGTACAGAATACTAGTGGTATGCCGGTATATACATATATACATACATGAAAATATATATGTTTAAGACTATATGATGTAGAGTACAGGATACTGGTGGTATGCCGGTATATATATACATGAAAATATAAAGGTGTTTAGGACTTTATGATGTAGAGTACAGGATACTAGTTGTATGCCGGTATATATATACATATATAAATAAATATTATTTTATTATGAATATTTATATGTTTAGGACTATATGATGTAGAGTACAGGATACTAGTGGTATGCCGGTATATATACAATACATACATGAATATATATATGTTTAGGACTATATGATCTAGAGTACAGGATACTAGTGGTATGCCGGTATATATATACATGAATATATATATGTTTAGGACTATATGATGTAGAGTACAGGATACTAGTGGTATGCCGGTGTTTATATATATATATACATGAATATATATATGTTTAGGACTATATGATGTAGAGTCAGGATACTAGTGGTATGCTGGTATATATATATACATGAATATAAATGTTTAGGACTATATGATGTAGAGTACAGGATACTTGTGGTATGCCTGAAGTATATTCTACCATGATGTGCAATTCTAATTTATTATCTGTATTCATAATATTATTATCTTAACTATTTTGTATGTTGACCCAGCCGGGCTAGCCCGGTCAGTTCATTTTACCTGTTTATAAATAAAGTAGTTGAATATCATTAGTTGATCAGAACGGACGTATACAGAGCCTTGAGTTTTGGCTAGAGATTT